AAACATTCTTTCGAAGAGGAATTAATATAAAAATTATATTTATATATATTTTTAAAGCTGGGACTTGAACCAAACTGTCAAACTTTTAAAGTTTAATTTACATGGTGGTTATAATTAAAGTTTCAATTTGAAATGGTTATAAAAGGAAAAACCGGACCAAATGTTATCAAACTTGGGAATCGTGTTAAAAGGGAGGTTATGGGAATTTTTTCGGCGGCGGAAAAAAAAAAGAGTCAAAAAACTCACCATCAAGGGAAAAATGGCGCTGCGCTGTATACAATATTGTTAAATGAAATAAGACACGAAAACATCTGTTAAAATGTGTTAATATTTTCCGAAACGTGTTACAAAGCAGTTCAATGTAGCGTCCAACATTTTCCAAAGCAAGTTAAATCATGTTACTGCATTCTCAACAGCAGCTCTTAGCATATCAGGTTTGGTGGTTTATTAGATTACGGCAAAGCACTCGAGGGCTATCTGCCTTAAGGAAGGGATGCTTTCGTGGAGGGATTTTTAGGGAAACTGGCTCGTATACACGTTACACATAGCATATCAGGAGGGAATGTTATCAGTGTATCACTTTTCATTCTGCCAATTTTTTAGATTATCACCATAAAACAGTTGCTTTTGCTCATAGACAAAAGTCACAGAGGTTGAGGTCTGGTGGGAAGAGAGGAAGTGTTGGGCCTTATAAGACGTTCATTCGTGAAATGTTGCCTAAGTAACTATGCGACACTCTTGAGGTGGTGCCCAGCCCTGCATAAAAATCGTAGTATCTAATCTAAAATGCCACGTTACGGCAGTGTTCATGTATCACGAAAACATTTTAATATTGACTCTAAGTGAGCTGCAATCGCAGTGGTCCAGCTGTCGACTGCTCTTCAGAAAAAAATGGGTTCTGTTAAAACTAGCTGTCATTCAACAGTAAACGGTGTGAAATGACTGTTATGCAATCGAATGCAGTAGGAGAATGCAATGGAACTAGATAGATAACATGAGAGATTTCTTTGGCCCAAATCGATTAAAAGCGCTTTGAATCAGTATCTTCATGTTTTAGTGCCGAAATTCAGGCTTAAAAATTACAAATTAGCGATCTGTAAAAACGAACAGATTTCCATTGCACCACTTGTGAGAGAGTGATTTGCGATCTCACATTTCTAATCGCTAATTCGTGGTTTTTTTCACGGACGAAATTCTCACTTACAGGGATGGCGCACTCGCATTTATCGATTTAAAACGTCGTTTTAAATGGTAATTTACTCAAAGTTCTTAAGGTATACAAATATAAACCCGTTAACAAAAGGTTAAGTTAGATTCCGACCCGTATTCGTAACAATTTAAGGTAAATATTAACATGCAGCGCCATTTCCCCCCCCCTGGCTGGTTGGTAAGGTTCGAAATTCCTTTTTTCCGCGGAAATAAATTCCCATGACCTCCTTTACACGATTTCCAAGTTTGATAACATTTGATCTAGTAGTTTTCCCTTTTATGACCGTTTCAATGTGGAACTTTAATTAAACCACTCTGTATATTATTAAATTTTAATTTGAAGCTATGCGTTATATGTATACCATATAATGCATAGCTTCAAATTATTTTCGCTTTTATGGAAAATAAAAAATCGAAGCAAATATACTTTGATATGGACCAAAACTGAAAAACATTTCCCTCCCTCCGAAAATAAATAAATATTTGAAATTTTCGAACTTGAATTATTGGGTTATCGAAATATTTAATTTGACTTATCTTCTAAGTCCTAGTTCCGACAACAATTCCGTCAAAATTCCCGCATTACTTAAGCTAAAGTAAAAGATTAGTGTATATTCACTGTATGTTAATAAAGTAATCAGAGTGTATAAAAAAATAGATTAGAATTTACGCTGATGTAACTTTTTGTCTGACTGCACAACTGTAATGGAAGCAAATGGAGAGAGGTTTGTAGAGATCTGTTTTTGACATGCCTCTCAAAGTAGATGTCATATTAATTTTGTCTCTTCAATGTCAAAAAACTTTCCTTTGAGAGGCAACTTTAGTTTCTGAGGAAAAAAAAATCACAAGAAAGACAAAATTTGAAGAACATGCAGGACGATTGAGTACACATACTTATTTTCGGAACACAAGCGGTTCTGCGACTGGTTATTGAATAATGAAAAGATGCATTGTCATGCAATACAAAACATTTGGAATACGTTTTCTGGCTGAATAACGTAAGATTAAAAGTCATCTGCTTAATTCACATCTATTTACAAGTCAACTACTCGGGCAATTGCAGAATCGTTTTGATCCTGAGTTTGTAAGACAAACCTAATATCACTGGATTTAAACACTTCTTTAATCTTCCGTGAACGTTCCTTCTTTAGCTCATATTCCAAGAATATTAAGTGAATACAATTATTGCCAAAGAAATGAATATTCATTTGCACTACGGCTTGGTAGTTTACTAACGAGTTACAAAAAAAATTCTGCTTTTTGTTTTTTTTGTCTAAGAATACAACAATATTTTAAATATTACAAATAAAATATTAATTGGAGATTTAATTGGAGCCTCATCAGTTTTGCCTAGCATTTGAAAAAAAAAAAAAAAAAAAAAAAAAATAGATTGTTAAATACTAATTGTTTGCTGCTCAGTCTAACCCAGGCTGCATGGTTGGTTTTCGTAGTTTTTTAGGTTCTTTTTACAAAGATTCTCTGTGAAAGCATCTTAATCAAATAGCTCCCATGTTCTTTCTATGTTCAAATAACCAACTAACCTAGTTTAAGCGCGATTTCCAAGTGAAGTTACTAGAAAAATCCGAATACTCATTAAAAATCATGTAGCTAGCCAATCGGGAGTAACATGAAAGATACGGCGCCAATAATTGAAATGTTGTTACGGTACGCTGTTTCTTAACTTAGATGGTCATTCCTTAATTAAATAGCTCACCAACGGACGAGCGGTACAAAGACGCTGAACACTGGTAGTTCAGTCCGAGGTTTCGAATCCCGCGAACGGGCTGGCCGCCGCATGGGCGGTTTCGTGGTTTTCCCCGTTTTCCCCATGTGTAACGTGTATACGAGCCAGTTGCCCTTAGAAAGTCCTCCACGAAGGCATCCCTCCCTTTAGGCAGATAGCCCTCGTGTGCTTTGCCATAATTAAATAATCCAATCCAATCCTTAATTAAATATAATTGATTTGTAAATTCTACTAGAACTGACAGTAAGAATTGAAGTGGAAATGGAAATAAGTAATATGGTGTGCAATCTTGATTAATATAAAATTAAAAATATTTGCATAGAAAAATGTTTGCATTCAGACAGAAAGTTTTTTGAAATATTTGCAATTACTTTATAAGAAGGATTTATTAATAACCGTAATAATTACTTATTATATTACTGATGATTAGGATTCAGTTTCTGACAATTACATTCTAAATTAGAATTTTAAGGATATAATGAAAATACGCTACGCACAAAAATACATTTTAGGAAAAAAAAATGAGTTGATTTTTTATGTTTTAAAACTTCTTAAATTCATTTAGTAAACATCGTATCCTCATTGTTAATTGAATCCAGAATGTTGTGGTGTCGTTTATATAATTATTCTTACTTGTCCTACAGAATCTGCTCCTGACTTATCCAGCCATTAAGTAGCTGCAGATCATTTCTACATAAACCATTGAACTTCCATTAATTCAGTCTCTAGAGGGTTGTATGTTTATATCATAATTTGACTTTATAAAAAAATGATTATTCTAAAGTATTATGTTTCTATAAAAATATACTGTGGTTTAAAAATATGGATGATAGTATCAGCCGCTCTTTCAGCCACTTTAAAAGCAACAGTTTGTTTAGAAATAAATTGTGCAGTTAATTGTCATAAAATTCAAATAAATATCAAACGAAAATTCTCAGTTTTAGACAATTCGATTTTTAAACGAAGTAAAGTAGCAGACGATAAAACGCCGAAGGTAAAAATTTACTCTTACAAAAACTTACTCTTAATTTTTTTAAAAAAGAAAAGATACGAGAGAAATTTTAAAAAAAATAGTTAAAAATTTGAATAATATCATCTATAATTTAAAAAATAGCCTTTCATATAGTATTAATAAATATTTATTACGCATCATTGAGGGAAAAAATGTCATATAATTAATTCTTCGTAAAATTTTACTTGAAGTTTGAGGTTAAAAATAGCTATGGCAATTCAGTGTAAACAATATCCATAGACCACATTTGGCGTTATTACCGCTCAAAAAAAGGTGCCAAATTTCAAAACGCGAAATTATGTAAATTCGTGTATATCTTAGAAAATTTTGAATAAAAAAGTCTAATTTTTTTTGCAAATATGCTTAAAAATACCTACTTTAAGATGATGGTAAAAATTTATAGGATATAAAAAAAAAAAATGAAAATCTATAGAAAAATTTAAAATTTAAAAAATAAAAAAGAAAAAAAAAAAAAAAAAAAAAAAAAACAAGCAAAAAATTAAAAAAAAATAAATTGAAAAAAAAATAAAAAAAGAATTGCCAAATTAAATGGAAAGAAAAAATAAAAAAGTTTATAAAAAAAAGATAAGAGATATTAATAAATTTTGCCAATTAACATTGGGAGCTAAAATTTTGAGAGCTAACATTTTAAAAACTATTCGTACGATTTTTACAAAATTGGTATTCTGGCATAATTTGAGTCGTAGAATCGAATATGTAAAAAAATTGGTATGTTATTTCAGAAAAAGTCCGATTTTGTGTCAAAATACCTATGTTAGAATAGTGCTATATAAATCTAATATATATCCTAAGTCGCGCTTTCGAGACATGAAAAACGCAGTTTTGAATTTTGTCAATCGGCCCAGTAGAACGGGAGATATAGCACTGTCCCATTTTTTTTTTTTTTTTTTTTTTTTTTTTTTTTTTTTTTTTTTTTTTTGTGAGCAGTGTACATAATTTCTATTATATATGATATAATTCCTCATTTTAATAGGTTTTGTAGCTAATGAATTTTTTTTTTTTTTTTTTTTTCAGATCTCTGAAATGTTTGATACAATCAATGAACTCTCAGTTCTGAGTAGCTGTTATATTGAAGGTATTGAAGTCTATTCTTCCAAATTTAATGGTATAATTAACTCAATAAAAGGAAAAGCGTATGATTTATTAGATCATCGGAAAACAGATTTTGATGCTGATTATAAAGAGTTTACAAAACAGGTTGTTGAACTTAAAGTAAGTGTTTAATTTTTTAACCTTAAATGATAAGTATAGTTAAAATTAAAAAGGTGAAAAGTTGTGTGAGAATAATAATAGTAGGATTTGGAATAATAATAGTAGGACATGGAAGATTTGTGGATGAATAGTAACAGTAGAAGTAGTAGCAATAAGTAAAGAGAAGATTATCCCAGTTTATATATTTATTTTGTACTCTGGAAAGGTATGCTTAAGTAATCATCTATATCTGTAAGTTTCACTATGCAAGATAGCCCAGCGTTCTGTTCAAATTATTTAATTTGGCATAACAGTGTTCTGTAATTATGAGCTTACAAAACTCCTGATAATTAAATGCATAAGTTATTAGCTTCTTCCACATGGAGAAAGCCAGCATAACGTAAGCAATAAAATAAAATCCTGAATATGTTATAAAAAATTTTAATCAAATTCATCCTCTAGCAAAAGAACTCTAGCATCTAGTACTAGAGTATCAAATCCTGAATCTCTAGCATCTAGTACTAGAGTAATAGTAGTTCTGATAATACTATTCTGATTAACTGTACCTTAAAATGCCCCATTCAGTAAGAAGCAGAACATGATTGCAACATTTGTTCAGTAACTGAATTTATAAAAGCAAATCCATTAAAATTCATTGAAAAATGAAGTAGAACGAAGATAAAAGTAGTAAAGAAAACCCGAATACTGCAAAGCTGTACAGTGCCTAAATTTGTCTCATCATTATCATTTTTATTCATGTGATAAATTTAAAATATTTTCTAAACTTTTTTGTGGTGTTTAAGTGTTTTATATATGTTTATATATATATATATATATATATATATGTCCAAGATTGTCTTAATAAATTTAAACCTTCACCTTAATCATTTGAATTAAGTGTTACTTTTATTTAATAAATATTTCTATTTTTATTATTATTTAATTTTCAAATCCATCAGTAATGCACATTTTTCTTTAGTCTGCTAGTGGCTGAGTGGATAAGACTGCTTACTGCTAATTTGGGTTGGGTTTAAATTTTGCCAAATGTGCTGCCTGCATGCACATTTTGGGTGTTTTCTTCTTGTGTAATATGAATATGAGCATTCCTTGGTTTTTTAAGAAGGTCCTTCTTGAAAACATCTCTTCCTTTAGGCAGATAACCCATGCATGCTCTGCTATAATAAAAAAATATGCAAACATTTTATTTAATTCAAATTTATAATATTATAAAAGTAGTTTATTTATATTTTTTTTAAATACAAAAAAGAAGAACTAAGTTATCTCTTTTCCAACCTCTGTTTTTCCCCCTTTCTTATTCTTATGTATTGATTTGCCTATGATTTGTCTTTCCTAAGTCATCCTATTCCTCATACAGAATGCTTAAATAATTTAATTTGCATTACTTCAAAGATAACTGGTAATTCATTTTTTGCTTTAAGTGCTTGCCATTTCATGCATATTTGAAGAAATATTTTTTATTCATTAAAGGAAAATTTCAATGTTTTTCCTAATTCAAGATCTCATGCATGTCTTATGCTCTGTTCATTATAGGAAAGTATTCAACTCTTTATCAACAGTCGTTTCGAAAATGTTTCTCGTGCTTACCAGTCAATTCTCTTGCTTCAAAGGTAAAAACCAGAAATTTGCTTTTTATTAATTCTTTGCTTCATTTTTTTGTTTGCTATTGAATCTTATTGCTTTTTTTTTTTTTTTTTTTTTTTTTGTTATAAAAATGTGTGTAAATTACAGTGTTATACATTTAATAACAATTAATAAACATGTAAAATGCTTCTTTTCATATAATTGTTTAAAATACTTTTAGATTTCAAAATCTTGGAATATCAGGACTTGATACCACCAGTCAGTACATTCCTATTTTTAAGTTTTTTGAATACAAGATGGACATGATTAGAAAAGTAAGATTTTATTATTCTTTTTTCTTAATATTTATTTAATATTCTATAGCAAACGCTACTCTGTAATTGTTAGAATTATACTTTTAATTTAGATTTATAACCAGAAGAGATTAGACCCCAAAACTGTGCAGATTGGTCCATTATATGCCAAAAAAATTGCATGGGCAAGAGTGTTGTTTAAACGAATTGAAGTGCCAATGGAAAAGCTTAAGGTAATTTGACTTCTGATTCATTTCTTTCAAATCCAAGTGTACAGGGTTACTGCATGGAAGTTCTCATTGCTTTCTTTTTGTGTAATGTAAACATGAATCAGTTTTTTTTTTCAAAACTCCTCCTTAAAGACATACTTCTCTTTAAACAGATAGCTTTCACCAGCTCTGTCGTAAGTTAAATGATCCAGTCCATTGTTTCTTTCCATTTTATGCCAATTTTGTTTTCTCAGTAGAAATTATTATTTTTGGTATTACTGTGTAAATATTATAATGGGAAATTAAGTTAATAGTTTTTTTTTTTTTTTTTTTTTTAGTTGCAGAGAAATGTGTTAAATTTGACAAAAGTACAGAAATGAAAATTCCTTTCTTATTGCAAATAACTTTAATTACTGAAATTTTGGTATATTATTTCAAAAGAATTATTCTCATACAGGTATATATTCATATTGTCTAAATTGGTTTCCAGATTCTTCTGTCACGCTGATGTTTCTTACTGAGTGCTTGTAAATCTGCTTCCTTTATTATTTGAAAATAATAATAAAATGGAAATATTTTCCTTATTTCGTAAACAGTGTTCAAGAACATTTTCTTAAATCTTGTTACAATCTAAATAGATGTTATTTATTGGACTTATGTAGATGATTGCCACTTTCAAGTTAATTTTATATTTTTTTATTTCTAATGTCATTTTTGACAAATTTGAAAAACTACATTTAATTTTTAATAAAAATGTTATTTGTACATATCAAATCATTTTTTTTTTACTTTTATATCTTGAAAGATTGATAGGCATAATGAAATTAAATGATAAGTTTCTGCAATATTTCTTTGCAGGGGGGGAAGAATACAGCATTTGCATAGAAACGTACAATAGGTGACCAAATGAAAAGGTACGAAACAACACAGTGGGTACAAATGTAGACTTTATACAAAATATACACCACAGGCCTGAGCACAACGATCCCACTGATGAACAAGCCACAGGATTCCTTGTTCCCAGAATTCCTGTGGCAGTGACAAGACCCAGTCCTTCACAGCGTCCTTGAGTGTGTCGTTTGACTTGAAGCGCTTCCCTTTCAGGTGTTTCTTCAGTGGACCAAATACATGGAAATCGCAGGGCAACATGTCAGGACTGTAGGGCGGATGGTCCAAAGTCTCCCACTTGAACTTGGCCAGTTCCATGTGTGTGACTCTGGAGACGTGTGGACCCGCATTATCATGGAGCAGAACCACATCCTCCGTGAGCAGCCCCAGTCTTTTGTTCTTGATGGACCTGCGTAGGCATCGAAGTGTCTCACAGTACACATCGGAGTTAATGGTTTTTCTGTGCTCCAGGAATTTCACAAGTAGTGGACCTTGAACGTCGAAAAGACGGTGAGCAACACTTTACCTGCTGACGGCACGGCTTTGAACTTTTTAGGGGGAGGTGACGACACATGCTTCCATTGCATGCTGTCCCGCTTTGTCTCTGGCTTGTAGTGATGGCACCAGGTTTCATCACCTGTGACGATCCGCTCCATGAAAGCGGGGTCTTCCTGATTACCAAAACAAATGTTGCAGTGCTAGCCCCATACGCAGCTCCTTTTGCTGGTCGGTGAGCTGCTTCAGAACCCAAGCGGCACACACCTTCCGATATCGCTACCTGTCGTAAACAATTGTCCACACGGTTCCATAGCTGACGTCCACCTTCACCATTCGCAATGTCACATTTGCCACATTCGCAATGTGACACGCCGATCATTTCTCACTAGGTCGTCACATTTCTCACTAGGTTGTCGAGATCGCTCGTGATGACAGTGTTTGCCTGGCCTGGTCTCGAATCATCACCCACACTCTCACGGCCTGCAAGAAAATGGGCACTCCATTTTCTGACAGACTTGTCAGAGAAATATTTCTTCCCGTAAACTATCACCATCCGGCGATGAATAGCTGCCGGTTTCTCACCTTCCACTGTCAGAAATTGGATAACATCTCGCTGTTCCTCAGTCGTCAAATTTTGCAACGTGAATGCCATCCTGTTCTCATACAGACAGCCACATCATTTGGACGCCGCTTTTGATAAGAGCTCTGCTCTCTCCTGTGCATGCGGGCATCCGCACATGCTCCGATCCCAGTTAGAGATTCCAATCGCATCCCAAGATGTCTCGCTACGTACTCCCATGGCAGAATATGCAAATATTTAACTGTTACGTTTTTACGTCGTTTCGTACCTTTTCATTTGATCACCCCTTGTATGTATCTTTTATTTGAGGCTGAAGACTGGAATCATAGAATTAATTCTTTTAGTTAGGTTAATGCATTTGGAAGAGCATAACCATTTGCAAAGTTACTACACCAGGATAAAAGTATGGAACATTAGTCACAGCTATATTAACCCGTCAGCACACGTGCTGGGGTAAAATCCACCCCACGTGCAGTCTTTTCTTAGAAAATAAGGAAAGGTCGTACGTGACCTTTCTAATACTTCATGTACCTTTCAAGATCAAGGTTAGGAAGGGGTCGTCCAGAGGAATTTTTCCCGTGTCCTTGGAATTTTGTGTTTTCAGGGAAGGAATGAGTAATGGGATTGTAGCTACCCCGCGCGTGTACTAACGTTTCACTTCTAGAGAGATATTCATTGAGATGAATGCGTACGAGCGAGAACAGTAGCGACTGCGGGTTCTTCTCGCTAGTGTTGAAACTGATAGCAAAATTGAAGATTCCAATTCTGAAAATATTTCTGAAAGTGATCACGAAACTGATTCTGACCAGTAATATAATGATTCACATGATTTAGGAAGCATATCTTCTTTGAGATCAAATGATTTTTATGTTTGAAAATTACCCTCGAAAAATGTTCGTACACCTCCGCACGATATAGTGACACATTTACCTGATGTCAAGAAAAACATTAGCAATTTGAAAAATCCAACTGAGTGTTTATTGCAAATTTTTTATGAAGAACTAATGGAAGATTTAGTGAAATCAACAAACATTTACATTTCATCAATAAGAAACAAATTCTCTAGAGAACGTGATGCGCAAAAGAGACAAACATAGCTGAATTGAAGGTGTTATTTTTCCTATTATATTACGCTGGAGTGCTGAGAGCAGCACTTCTCAAAGCAAAGATTTGTGGTCAGATGACGGAAGCGAAATAACTGCTTTTCAAATAACAATGTCTATCAACTGATTCCACTGTTGAGATGTATTAGGTTTGATTACATAAATTTACGAGCAGAGCGAAAGATGAGAGCTAGACTTGCACTTATTAGAAATGTTTTTGAAATATTTATTAACATACGAAAAGTATATTCTTTATCTGAATATTGTATAGACGAAAAATTAGAACCCTTTCGAGAAAGGTGTCAATTCAGACAATATATAAAAAGTAAGCTCCCAAGATATGGAATAAAAACCTTTGCTTTGTGCGATTCTCATACATTTTACGCATACAACCTAGACATTTATGCAGGTCAGCAGTTTGTCGGACTATATAGACAATCAAATGTGGCATTGGATGTTGTACAAGTACTTATTGCATCCATAAGTGCCACTGAAAGAAATATAGCTATGGACAATTGGTACATGAGCATGCCTTTGGCCAATGAATTATTGAAAAAGTACAAATTGACATGTTTTGGGACACTTCGAAAAGATAAGCGTGAAATTCTAGAAGAATTTCTGCCAAATAAAACAGACTTCTGTACTCTTGTGTTTTGGGTTTAGAAGTAAAGAATTAACTCTTACTTCATATGTTCCAAAAAAGAGTAAATCGGTTCTTCTTCTATCATCCATGCATAAGGATAATCAAATCGATCCATTGTCTAAAGAGCAGCTCAAGCTCGAAATGATAACTTTTTGCAACTCTACAAAAGGTGATGTTTATACTGGTGATGAGTTATGTGGAACTTGGTCTGTTTCAAGAAAATGCCGCCGCTGGCTTCTAACGGTATTTTTCGGACTATTGAACATTGCAGGTATAAATGCTTTTATTATTCATCGATCAAATAACAACCAAGTGAATATGAACCGAAGAGCTTTTCTCAAAGATTTAGCATTAGAGCTTGTTAAAGAGCATGTCCTAAAAAAGGGCTGCAATTCAGTCTCTCTCGAAAGAACTCAAAACTGGAGAAAAAAGTCAGTAGGAACAAAAGATGCAGCAGACCTTCACCCTAAGAAATAGTTTGTAAAAATATGTTGTCGCACTATGTGAGGATTGTTCAAAACAATATTATTTGAATAATTAAACTCAGGTAGAGGGGAGAGGTGGAAAACGTATGTGTTATTTATGTTTTTTAATATTTGTATTTAGAATCTATTCTTTTATATGAATAATTCTATGACATTATATTGAGTTTTAAGGAAAAAAGCTCGTAAGAATGCAGCCTTTTCATATTCCTCTAGTACTTTATCAAACCACTCTTCATAATAAACACTTATGTTTAAAAAATATGTACATATGAAAACTGATTTTGCTAATATAAGAAATCATATATGTATCTTATATAAGTTAGTAATTGTGCATAAATTTCGATTTTTATGGCTTATTTTAGATAACCAGTATGGAAATGTTTGTATAACTTAAAGTAAGATTATCTTGAATTAAAACTGGACAAAAGGTTTAACAGAATTCACAAAGCTATTAGTCATTTATACATTCATTTAAAACAAAGAAAATGCGTGTATTTATACGTTGGGGGGTGAACTCCGAGAAACAAACATTGGGATAAAATTTGTCCCGCGCGTGTACTAACGTAGCGCAGTCATGCGCGTGTGCTGAAGGGTTGAGGCAATTATCATATTATTCAAACTTTAGCTTTATAATTTAATTTTAAAGCATGTACACAATTTTTGAATAGTCTTCCATTTGATATTTTTAATTCAACAAATAATAATAGCTTGCAACAGACATATATTTTCCTTATAAGGAAAGATGAAAAATTGTAAATATAGCCAATGTAGATCTCATTGGATTATTAAAATAAAATCATTAGGCATGATAGGTTAGATCCTAACCAGTGCTTAAATTGCACTGGAGCCCACCGGAGCCCTGCTTTGGTACTTCTCAGTTTTTAAGATAAATTACAATTCTAGCCAGAGTGTACCGGAGTATGTATTCATATTGAGTAAGTAAGGTGAGCTCCGGTACTTCTTTTTTATAAAACTGAACCACAATTTAAAGGGGAAAATTTAGAATTCCTAACATTTTAGTTTAACAATAAGAAATAACAGTAATAATAATTTCTCTAGAAATACAAACTCATGCGAACATGAGACATTCAAGTAAAGTCCCCTCACTCAAATGCGGAAACTTATCCCTTTAAGAAGGGCAATAAATTTGTTAGAGTTTGTTTAAGAACACGTAAATTTCTCACCATGCCATTGTATCTAGTGTATTGTTTTGATGCTTACAGTTAGTTATCCTCACTGGAAGGAAAATTTATGTTCTTAAATGTGCGTCACGTGACAGCGAGTACAATAAGAATAAAATATTGAGATAAACTGCTCAAGCACATCCTATACATCGTCTTCCCACAGTATCCACTAATGGAGGGGAAGCATAACCAGCAACTTTATATTCATCCTTAGGAGTCAGATTCAGGACTACTTTTACCCCTGACATGGCTGTAACTATATCAGCAGAGAGCCACAGCCAAAGCGAACATTCTCTCTCACCAAGATTCCCATCATTTTTTTGTTTCCACCCACTTATACCCCATTCTGTTTCGCCTTGGAATTTTCATCAGCAATATTTTAAGTATATTTAATTTTTGTGATGATAACAGAACTCCCCCCCCCCCAACGATCAGAGCTTAAATTGCTCCAGTGCTTCTTTTGTAATAAATCATAATTCTAGCCTGAGCACTAAATAACAAGGCAGTGGCACTTCTTTTATGTAATTGAATAACAATTTCAGTGTAAATTTTATCTCAAAATTTTATTTTAACAATAAAAATTATATTGAAAATTGTTAATTAAATTTCAATTATCTCTTTATATTTTATTTAATTTAATTATTTAATTACTTCAATCTTACAGTTCAACTTACAATCTTCAATATTGCAATAAATAAAAATTAATTATCTAATAATTATCAATTAAATTTAATAATTATTTTGTAATAATATGCTTAAATACAATTCATAACATTAATTAAATAGCTATAATTAATTTGATAATAATTAACTATTTAATTTTAAAATTATTAATGAGTTTAATAGTCATTTTATTTATTCCTTTACTCTTGTTCTCCTCTTTGCTGAGGGTCTTCCATAGGGCTTCGGCACTTCAAATCTTAGAAATTAAACCCTCATCCTAACAGTTATCAGAGCTGCAAAATAATCGTGGATGAAAGCACCACGAGGCGAAAATGTCATCAGACAATACATTGAGGGAGAAAAGAAAGGAGAAAACATCGCAGTTATAAAATGTTGTGGTACAAAACATCATCGTCGAAAATAAAGCAGTTAAAAAATTTTGCAGTTTACAAATATCATGGTCTAAAATCTCATGAAAAAAAAAATAAATAAATAAATAAATAAATAAAGCACCTACAAATCTTTGCATGATAATAACATAGTAGACATGCATTTTTTGTGCTTTAATCCTTTCTGGCACAATTGCCCATTCTTGGCACACCTAAAAAATTCCCTCTGTACACACAGGAAAATTAAATGGGAAAGGTTTTATAGGTTACCATATGGTACTTTTAACCTTCCTTATTTATATTAGATGGCAGGGCAACACAAATCAGTCCATACATTTTAGCCATGTTTAGTTTTTCAAAGAAATCTTCCAGATTCTTTTTCAGGATATAAAATGAATTGTTTGAAAAGAAATTTCTATGTCTAAACGTAAGTTGCCAGAAATGTTTAAATGTAAGTTGCCGTAGTACATAAACAACTACCCAGTATTATTATTATATGTGGAAGCTGTGTGATCCTATGTGTCCTCTTCTTATAGACAGAATCACTTAATACCTTATGTGATGCAAATCATTGCACAACTAATGGATGATATGCACTATTCATTTTGTGGAATAGATTTTATGCTGCCAGAGTCCATACTTGTCAGAAGAAAAGTTGATTAAAAAACATAAATTGCGAAACATAAAATTCATTAAATTTTTTTTCCAATGACGGATACTTGCCTATAAGGGCATTGGCCACTCCTAAGGCCAGAAGTGGTGGCCATTTTAATGTGGAGTCACCTAGGCAGCCACTGTTACCTCCTATGAAAGGACAGACAGTTTTACATCCATGTCTTCTCCGGGATTCGATCAGTCTCTTCGGTTATTGCAGTCAGGCTTCTCTAACCACTATGCTGAATGGGTGGCATTTATTTGAAATGCAAAAGTAAAATATGAAACTTGAATACAAGGTGATGAGCTGACGCCAAATATTGACCATGGACATACAGTATTAGTGAAGTACAGGTGCAAGAGAAGTGAAGAACATCAGAAAACCAGGGCTTAATTTCTAGGATTAGAAGTGCCGGAGCCCTATGGAAGACCGTCAGCAAAGAGGAACAAGGGTAAATAAATAAATAAAATGACTATTAATCTCATTAATATTTTAAAATTAAATAGTTAATTATTATCAAATTAATTAATAGCTATTTAATTAATGTTTATAAATTGTTATTAATCAAAATTATTATATAATTAATTAACTAAAATTTAATTGATAATTAATTTTTATTTATTGCAATAACTGAAGATTGTAAGTTGAAATGTAAGATTGAAGTAATTAAATAATTAAAATTAAATAAAATGTAAAGAGATAAATTGAAATTTAATTAACAATTTTTAATATAATTTTATTGTTAAAATAAAATTTTTGAGATAAAATTTATACTGAAATTGTTATTCAATTACATGAATGTGAAGTTGCTGCCTTCTTATTTAGCGCTCAGGCTAGAATTATGATTTATTACAAAAACTAAGAAGCACTGGAGCAATTTAAGCTCTGAATCGTTGGGGGGGGGAAGTTCTTTAATCATCACAAAAATTAAATATACTTAAAATATTGCTGATGAAAATTCCAGGGTGAAACAGAATGGGGTATAAATGGGTGGAAACAAAAAATGAGGGAAATCTTGGTGAGAGAAAACATTCTCTTTGACTGTGGCTCTCTGCTGATATAGTTATAGCCATGTCAGGGGTATAATTAGTCCTGAGTCTGACTCCTAAGAATGAATGTGAAGTTGCTGGTCACGCTTCCCCCCCCCCATTAGTGGATACTGTGGGAAGACGATGTATAGGATGTGCTTGAGCAGTTTATCTGAATATTTTATTCTTATTGTACTCGCTGTCATGTGACGCACATTTAAGAACACAAATTTTCCTTCCAGCGAGGATAACTAACTGTAAGCATCAAAACAATACACTAGATACGATAGCATGGTGAGAAATTAACGTGTTCCTAAACAAATTCTCCCAAATTTACTGCCTTTCTTAAAGGGACAGGTTTCTGCATGTGAGTGAGGGGTTCGGTAAAACCATTGATACTAGTCCTGTGAAAATTTGAAAATATAACGCTGATTTTTGTTGTTTGTCTTCTAAATTTGTTCAGTGTGTTATTGTATCTTAATTGTATTAGTTATTTTTATTTCACAGTATGATGATATTATTTTGCAGAGTTATAATTACATTTCAAAAATTTTAATGTGTATGTGATTAAAAGTTATCATAACTATTCTTTTATGATAGATATTTATTTATAAAATAATACATGTTATAAAAAGTATATTATAAGCAGTCATAAGTATAAAAGTATATTGATATGGATAATTTTTCAATTCTTTTTATATTATAGGAGCATTTAGGCATGCTGTCATCAAAAGATGCCCAAAAAATAGTGTGCATGTATAATAAGTTGGGTGAAATATTAATGGAATATATGATTCTCCATCATAATGCTTACTGCAGAAAAGTTGAAATTGCTATTCAGGGTATGAATTTTTATGTGTTTATAAAGTCATTTTCTAATTCATTTTAGTGCTTTTATGATTTTAAAATATGAATATTTCAAGAGTATAGGTATGGTTTTACAGTTTTAAATATTATCAAGTGATCATAACAATAAATAGCATAACACAGATGCTATACTTTCACATGAAATTTTCATTATTTTGAGATGTTTTACATATTAAATATTATGAATTGAGTTTACAAATCACTTTTGTAATGTACTTTAATGTAATTTTTTTTCAATGTAATAATTTTTGTAATCATTTTTCCCCCTTACTTTTAATGTAATCATTTTTTTTTTCCTTTCATCAGAATAAAAGGAAAGGGTAAAATTTTATACCTTTCCTTTTATTCTGATGAAAGTGTAGAATTGAACACTGGGTATAATTTAGATATCAAATAAATATATTAATCCAGTTGTTTATTATAAAGGAGTTTATAAATTGCTATATGCAGTTTTTGGTAAGTTATTAATTTGTATGTTAATATGAATAATATAATCTGTTGTTCTTAATATGAATACATCGGCTAGTATCTTGTTTTCATTTTTAGAAATCCAAAAACCTATTGTTATTCAGAAACAACTAGAAAACGAGTCATCTATATGGGTGGTTAATTTTACCACTACTTTGTACCTGATGATCAGAGATTCTCGGTCTATGATTGCTTTAGGTTTAAACATACCAGAAGAAGGAAAATTCTTGTTGTATAATTATGATAAGTTAATGACTGCTAAAGTAAGAATGCAGGTAATTTGGATTTTTACTTTCTGATGCTTTTAACAAATATTTAGGGCATAATATAAATTGAATAAAGATTATTTGAACATATTTATGATCGTTAAGTGAAATATTTGTATATGATGAATAATTTAAATACTAAGCATTATAAAAATTACCTTATTTAAACACAAATAAAAATGGCCAATTTGCTTTTGATTTTTTTCATTTATGTACGCTTATGCAACCAGTCCGTTTACTGGGATTCGAACCTTGGAGTGAACTACCAGTGTTCAGCGACTTTACCGCTCGGCCGTTTCTGGGCCTTTATGAAATGGAAAGCGATAACTTTATTTAAAAATGATTGTCAGAAATACCAAGATATTTCGAAAAGTTGGATGTTTTTTAATATACTTGCAGAATGCCTAAAGAAAAAGAGCAAGAATAAAGTAGAATGCCTGAAAAAAAAGAGAAGAAAAAATAAATTTTTTCATAAAATTTAGTATTTGTATTTTTGCTTTAATTTAAAACTTTTTAATCTTATGATATTTGATTCTTGCGATTTCAAAAATAAAATATTTGACTAATAACATTTTAAGAAACCAAATGTAGGATAAAATTGTGTAAAGCAATGGGCACAACGATAAATGCAAGTCATCCTAAGTTAAAATGTCGGTTATATATCTCTCTTATTTATATATATCTTTTCTGAACGGAACATTGAAAGGCATGTTAACTGTGCTTTTTACTGTATTTTCTCTTTTAATATATGCAGTTTTCAAATGCATCATAGTCTGGGTTACAAAGTATTCTTCTGAAAGAAACGCAATTCAAATAAGTAAAATCAGATTCTGGAAAATTTATATTAATAAATATATTTAAAATGCTCAGTTCGAAGGAATAAATAGAAAATTTATCAACTACACGACCTCTCTCAAATTATGACATCTGCGCATATCGTTCGTGCACCTGTATGTGAGGCATACTTACTGTCTACCAGAGTACACGGAATGAAATTCGTGAAGAATTTATGACCTGGAATTGTAATTTCTCCTCTTAAATATCCTACCAGTTGTGCTGATCAGATGCGCTGTAGAGACAACTGTTCATTCATTGGCAGCCAAAATGTAAAATTTTGCATTTTCTGTCAAAACCTGTATGCGTATCAATTTGTGTTAAATTTATATATTCTTGGTTATATGTTCTTTATATCTTCTCGGTGCGTCCTGGTGCGTCTTTTTGTTTTTTTGTCTAAGAGTGTATTTTGTTTTCTAATAGCAGAGAACTATTATAATTGCCAATATTTTGATATTAATGTGAATAGAGAATATTCCAAGAAAGAAATAGAGTTACAAAGCTCTAAGGTGCTTTTATCAGATGGCTTAAAATAAATCTTTGTTAAAAATGATTTATATTTGTTGCATTTTACCTTTTAATTTTTATGAATGAAATATACATTAAAATGCAATTTAAAATTTTGTTCTTAAGATTATTGTATAATAAGTATATAATAACTGATAGACCACGAAATTAAGTTGAATATGTGCTTTTTCTTTGCCTTTATGTAAAATTAAATTCATTAAGGTATAAGAAGAGATTTCAAAAATAATTATATATGATTTAATGATACACACTGGTATTAATTTCAGTGTAAACCTTTGTAATGCAAATATTATTAAAACTTGAATTGAGTTTTTCTGTAGTATCTTGTGAACAAATGCTTATTTAAAAATGAGATTACATTTTTGTTTCTGTAATTGATTTGATAATTTGTTATCTTAGTCTCTTCTTCAAAACTTCAAGATGATCAAATCTAATATCCCTGACATATTTATGCCTTTAATTTCGCCAGTAATTAGCAGAGTAAGTACATTTTTTTATTACTCATTGTATTGAATTTTCTGAATTACTTGGGCAAGATAAAATTTCTTATACAATTTGCTTTGCAGGTTGATGCCACTATAAAACCTGGTGCAATATATTTGAAATGGTTAACTACTAAAATGGATACTTATCTCTATAACATAAAAGACACAATAGAGAATTTGGAGTATGTAATTTATAAGGTACTAATTTTAGTCTTAATTACAGCTTATGTGTACTTGCTTTATTGCAATCGTTTTATTTATGCCTAGTTTATTTTGTCTTATTTCTCATTTTTGTTATTTTTATGTGTTACCTGAATTGACTGAAAAAAGTTAAAACTTGCATTTTTAATCCCAATTATTGATGTTTATATCAAGTAATTAAGTGCCAGGCTGAAATTATATTTGCTAATAACTGTATGGTCACTGTCGCATGTGATACAGCTATTGCTAAGTGCTATAAATATCTTGTGATTGAATATTGCAAAACATTAACAATCAATATTTACAACAATTTCTGGTCTTTGTGATGCTATGGTTTGTATGTACATATCAAAAATTTGGAAAAGGACCAGGTTGTTAAAATGGCAGAACTGGAGTTTCTGTATTATGAAATTATTATTCATGGTAATGAACTGAGACATGATGTTGGCAGAAACTAAGAAATGAAAGTTCTATAGTGCATTAGTCAAGTAAGTTCCATGTAGGAAAATATCAGAACATTTTTAGAGCTAATAACAACATTTGTTGACAGATAGTAATAAATATGAACATCTGTGATATTGATATGACATGAGCAATTTTAGACATGATTGCATATCATCTGAATTTTGTCATTTATCCATTCCTCTTTTTCCATATTTAGCTTTATTTACTGCAGATCGTGATTGTCATATTGGCTGTTACAAATCATATTGCACATTAAATACTGCCTTAAATTCTTTTATTATCATTATTTTTATATGCCTAGTTACATACATCTAAGTATAAATAGTTTTTGGATTTAAGGATGAAAATACATTGCCTGTTTATTATTATTTTATTGTTTTTTTGTAAATATTAGTAATATTTTGTTAATAAAAAAGTCCTCTTTCCCCATTTCAATTATCATATTCATGTCTTAGATAAATTTTTCTTAGGTAAATTTGTAATAAAAGATTTCCTGTATTTCTTTGTTATTAAATCAACATTATATTCCTTATTTAAAATTAGAAACTTAAAATAATTAATAATTAAAATTAGCCAAAAAGAAGCCATAGATTTTCATTTAGATTTTCAAGAAAACTCTTTTGATTTCTAGTGTAAAAGATATAGTCTGTCCTTTTTCCTCAACACTAGTGCCAGTCTAAGGTAGCTTTTTTGCCTGTCTTTAAATTTTAAATTGGCATTCTTATCTTTCAATTAAATAGGTAATAGCTAGCTATTCAAAAGTTATATAGGGACTTTAAATTTTTTATTCAAGGCTTCACCGCATTAAAAACAGTTTTTACACATCTTAAATTTTAAAGTGAAAAATTGGTTTTTGATTAGTAAATAAATAAAATCTTTAATTAATAACGTTCTCTGAAGTAAATTTTATGACGAAAGCTAATTTGAAAAAAGTTATGGAAAGATTCCACACTATCTTGTATATTTTCTTCATTATTTAAAATTTTAAAGAATAATTGAAAAATGGGTTTTCTAATTGATCTGAAGATTTAAGTATTTTCTAATCGAAACTATTGTAATGTATTTAAGTTTGACATAACTACATAAAACTTTGATGCATATACATACATATTTTTAAATCTGGCTATTAGTTTTTAATCAAGTAGACTAGCAATCAGATTCGTAACAGATTCATATCTATGCTATATGGTTAAAAAGATTTATGTGGAAAGGAAAATTGTTTAATGAGATTCAGTTATATACATTTTTTAAATACAGTAGTACTTGTGTATACTAATCCATTCAAAGTACTTGGATGTATACCAAATGAATTTTTCCGATAATAAATAAGGAGAAAATAATTTTTCCATTCCTCTAAAAAAATCCTATTCTTATTGTTTTAACACTATTTAATGCTAAAATGCAAATACAATGGATGAAATATGTACTATACATAATTGAAGTACTGCACATGATACTGCACATAGAGGTTTTTTGCTATCTTGATCAAAAGCAATTTTTCAACATGCTATAACATCTCTGGTTGTTTGATAATCAATTTCTCCTCTTTCGCAACATTAGCTGATTTAATAGTATCGTTGGCTTTCACAGTCATATACACCACTGTACTCAGCATACAATATGCAATAGCCAAGTCACAAATGTGCAGGCCTCTTCATACGTTTCAACAATAACTGTTTTTTTATCTCTCTTATAATCCTAACAATTTTCTCTGCTGCTTGACTTTTTCTATAAACTTTTGAAAAACTCATTGTTAATGAATTTCCAAAATTGTACTTGAAAAAACACAAAATCCTTTGAAAATTAAAATTTATAGTGCAGGTTGTTTACTTAGTAGTAGCAGAGGTGTACCTGACACTCATAACCAATCATAGCATTAGCTTGAAAAAATTAACAGATGTAGTATATGCAGTCATGACTCATCAAACTTGAATCATATTCCAAATATATTAAACAAACATTTTCTCATCTGAAAAGGGTATATACCAAGTTTGATGTATTTCAAAATAATTTTCTACCGAGGTACCACTGTATAACCTAGTTTTGTATAACCTGTATCGAATTTTGTAATCCTTTGACACACATTATTACTTGCATACATAAGTTAGTAATCAAGTTATCATAGCTTGATTGCTAATCTATTATTTTTACATTGATTGCTAACATTAACTTATAAACCCATACATGAATTGGAAAGATAAATTGCAGCAATATTTTATAATTTAAAATTCATATACAATAAATAACAATGTATAAAACATTTTGTGAAAATTATTAATCTTTGGGATGTGTGGTTTCCAAACTTGTATGCTTTGCATACCCAATTCCTCTATAATATGATAATTGCAACCATGTATAAGAGTTATAACACAATATCATAACAAATCCAGTTAAAGAAAGAATTCATAATAGAACAAACTCGACAAATAAAAATGTGAAAGGGAAAATATACAAAATTATACAAATAAGTAAATATATATATCAGTAATGTAATATTACTGGTATAGTCTTTAAAAAATTATACTTTTAGTATAACAATGAGATTAAAATAATAAATTTATCCAAGAGGAACGAAATAAGTTGAGATAAAAAAAATTAATATCAGCTGAGAGTGATGAAAGGCTTTATAATTAGAGAGAGAGATAAAATAACATATACGTATATATAATATATATATATATATGTAGTAGTATATAATTTAAAAAAAAAATTCTGAACTAAAACAACTCTAAAACCCAAATATGTGTGTAAGCTGCAATAAGCTACCTGATAGGACCACACTTGGTTGATATTAATTCTATGTATTTTATATTTTTCTTACTAATTAATAAATTTGCAGTATTTTTCTTGATATTAATTAGTATTTATTAATTAAATGCTCTTCAATTTTTATGTAATGTGCATAACCAGAAGCACAGAGGCGAATATGGTAGTATATTTGCCTCTGTGCTTCTGGTTTTTTGATTTTTGCATGTGATTTATTTTGAATTATGTATGTGATGAATATTAAATGCATATATATATGTGTGTAATAGTATTTAGACAAAAAATCCAATTAGTATGTATTGTAAGATGCCTTAAGCAGTGGTAGTATTTATTAATTTCAATGAAAATTTAAATTCAAAACATATTCAACATGGAATAGTGAACTGGAATTAAATTGACAAATTTTAAATGTATTTTATTATATATATATATTAACAAACAGTATATACGTAAAAAAGCAAATTTAAAGTTAAAATAATTAAAAGATGTGCAAACATATAAAAGATTTATATATATTTAGAGAGAGATAAAATAACGTATGCGTATATATGTATGTGTGTGTGTGTGTGTGTGTGTGTGTGGTAGTATATAATTAAAGAAAAAAATTCTGAACTAAAACAACTAAAACCCCAATATGTGTCTAAGCTGCAATAAGCAGCAGCAGTATTTATGAATCACACTGGAAATAAAACATTGTGAAAAAATAAGTAAATGACTCCAGTTTCAAAATCCAATGAACAATTTAAAAAATTAAAAATTCATTGCAAAAAAGAACGTATATTTCCCAAACATCTTTTTGGGTGGGTTAGAGTATCAAAAGAAGTAAATGAATCAGCCTGTTTCTGAAATGATAAAGGCATAAATTTATAAGATTTTAAAAGCTTTTGTCAAATACAAAACAATTCATGTTTTTATCTGGCCAATGCCTATTAATTGGAATATAAAAGGCATCATGCTTATATTCATACAACACAAACCGGCACGATCTAAAAATTGTAAAATCATGACCAAAACCAGTTATTTAATTTTAAAAGTGCAATGCAAATCAAGTTTATCAAAATAATTCGTTAAATAAAAGTACTAAAATTACTAAAAATAGTAAAATAATAAAACTAATTCAGAGTAAACAAGCTATTTGTCTTAAAACAAGTTTAATAGACTAGAAACCAAAGTTATATGTGAAATAAAAAAATTAGATCAATAATTGATAATTTTAATTAATTATCGAAGGTATATTATAAACTATGCAGTTAAAGAAGAACTTATGAACAAAATACTTACATTCGATGAACCAGAATAAGCTTTAAACTAACAGTGCAGTGTGATGAGCGATAATTTTAAATGGATTTGTTAAATAAAGCTTAGCAAAAAGAATCTTTAACGTGATTTTGGAAACAGTAAGTATAAACTTAATGTCTTAAGGAAAGAATTTTACCTCCACTTTGGTAGATGCTGCAACAATGAATTTCTATATATACTCTGTAATTCAGTATCCAAAAAGAAAACTAGACTGCAAAATTCATTTTTGGCAGGAGTGTTGATTACCTCCATTGTTCTTTGCTCATTACACACCAGACACTGAACACAGCAGCCAAGCATTTCAAATGACATGAGCCAATGGGACAGCATATTTCTATACAAGCAATATGATGCTGTGGGAACTCGTGTGCTCATGCCAACCACTCACAACTTGATTTCTGAGTAGTGTGCATGTGTGTGATAGAACTTTAGATCATTAAAAAAATTACTGGTAAATGCACTTAATATTTAATACTATAAACTGATGTTTTGTAAATTAATGTAAAAATGTAATGTATTATAATTACATAATACTATAAACTTATGTTTTGATATCTAGTTTTAAAAAGTTACATTATAATGTAACTTAATGCAATCAGTTACTAATTCATAGTATTTATTTTTAGGCTTCTGATACCAAGACGTCTAGACTTGATAAAATATTGAAAGAAATTACAAATGTTTCTCTTTTTAAGATCCCAGAAATTCCATTTGATCCTGAAGCTTTTCCTACTTATGTTGAGGTATTTCCTTATAAATTTAAATGTCTGCATGATCACATATCCATTCTCTCAGTGATCTTAGTATACATTAATTGTATTTTGCCTATTTTAAAAATAAAAATGATGTAAAATTAGCATGAATACTAAAATTGTGCATCTTTTTCATCATTATCACTTAAAACTTAATTACTAATTTATTTCTTAATTAATTCTTAAGTTACTGCTCTGTATAATACCTGCTCCAGGGTTTTAAGTGCCGTAAGTGATAATGCTATTGGCAACCCGTATAAATCAACCGTTTTAACAAATTTTTTCATCATTTTAATCAATCATTTCATATAAATATACCTAATTGTCATTTGTTAAAAAAAATTAAATGGCTCCTGACACCTTCTGAAATTTCAGTAACCATAATCAGTAATGTGTATGTGTGTGTGTGTGCATATGTATATATATGTTGTATGATCTTAAATTCATTTAGTGCGAAAACAAGTTACTTCAAAACATCTTTCAAAATATAACTTACCAGTATGGATTCACTCTTTTAAAATAATTCTACTTTAATTAAACTTAGGAGATAATATAATCAATTAATCAATATTGTTTAGGAAATAAATTATTATTAACTAACTTTGCAGCAATTGCGCAAGTAATAGTAACTTGTTTTCGCACTTAATGAATTTAAGATCATACAACATTTGATATGCTAAATAGCAGCTATTAGCGCTATTTATCTCTTGCCTAATGTACCCACTTTATATATTACCTCCATTCTTCTTTTTTAATAATTTCAATTTTTAAAATTTATAAAGTTCTTATACAAAACCTTTACTGTATTGAAGGTTAGCAGCCTCCTTACTTTTATATCTTGCTAGTTTATCTCAAATTGAAATCATTAAATGTCATTCCACGAGATGAAAAACTTGAAAATTTAACGCCATGCCTGCTACAGATAAACCCAAAAAACAATTTTTATAAAAAACATTTAACTGTATTTACATGATTACATGCGGCACTTGACATATAAAATATATAGGACAGACTAAAAACAATCTTAACTTTCGAATCAATAACCATAGAGCTCAAATCATCAAAAAATTCAACGCACAAAAAATAGCATTAAAATAAGTACACCATCACAACTCAATACAGCAGAATTAGAGCACTTTAAACACCATGACTTCAACTCTATTCAACTTCAGATACTAGATATAATACCCAATCACAAAACACGAATTTTTTAGGAATCTCTCTATATACTAAAACAACGTTCACTTTATCCATATGGACTTAACACTTATATACATAGTCATAGAGATACTTCTAAGAAGTCTATTTTCAGCCAATTTAAGCACTACAGCAACAAAACGCAGAGAGAAATAAGAGGAAGCAAAATAAAAAATAATGCAAGATTTTTATCCACTTTGGATACATTTGCATTGAAAAAACAATTGAAATGTTTTTTTGACTCAGACAACTTTCCCAAGAAACTTCTCAACTGGTTACACTCCTGTACTAATAAATTCCTTATCAAACTAAAAAAATTCATTCAAGAAAGCTACGATGATATACAAATCATTAAAGACATGATTCTCCATTTTAGTCTTTTCGGACTCTCTAATAGTCTCACTCAACGCAAAATTTATTTTAAAGTCAATTTTCTACATCCGCAGTTTGACAATATTCATTTCTCAAGAATAATCAGAGATTGTAAAGATTACTTCCCCGCAGTTTACACATTACCTATGGTTGCATTTAAATATCAAAGGACCTTAAGCAACTTGCTGACTAACCACCATGAAATAGATGAAACAGCAGAATGACATTGTAAGACACCAATTTACAGCAATTACGTGAATTCTCATCACCAGCACATAATTACTGGCAACCTGAATATCATATAAAACCATCAACTTAAAACACTAATGAGTTATGGTACAAAATTTAGACCAGTCAGAAACATGACTACAAATTTCTGTTACAAGACTTTCGAAAACACTATCAACAAAGTTATAGTTAAAGCAAGCTATCAACTGAATTTACCCATAGATACCTTCTAAAAATGGAAAGCTAAAATTCTTCAACGCATATCCACCGAAATCAGTCACCTCAAGTTTAAAAGTACACTGAATTGGTCACAAATTACATCAGATATTAAAACATTAAAACAGCTTTTTACTATTACAAAAATAGATAAAGCAACTAATAACTTAGCATTATATGAAAACAATTCTACGCAGAAATTATTCATAAAGAACTTCTCAACGCAACTACTTATCAATTAGCCAACCTTACAGAAACATCTATAATAAACAGGTTTAAAACTTTTCATAAAGAAACTCAATATTACTTTTCTTTACAATGCAAACTACAACAGATTTACTAATCTTTAGGCGATTCCCAAATTCCATAAAAACACCAATTAAAATTCAGATTTATTAGCTAATGGAACTAATAAATTACAAGAAAAATGTAGACTATTATTTTTCAATTCAACTTAAAAAATAAAAATAAATTAAATTAAATTAATAAAATCTGTAAATTATTTTCAATGATTGTAACACTAAGCAATAACATAACTATGCTGGATCATTCATAATAACACTCCTGTCATTAATACCATTCAAACCATTAACATCCAAAACATTAATTGCTATGACTTTGAAAACTTATATACCTCACTTCCTCTAGAAGAAATCTATACCAGTCTACTTGATCTAACTAAACTCTTCCCTGATATGCTCAATATCATGACTCTTGACAAATGGGAAAACCTACCTAAAATGCACACTTTTTCATAACTACATCAAGTTTCAAAATCAAACTTTTTAAACAAGTCAGAGGATTGCCAATGGGCTTACATTCCAGCACCTCGATCTGTAATATCTTTTTATTTGTCAAAGAATTTAACTTCCAAAAAAATCTACAACTACAAGATTTAAATTACTACAAACACACCTACAGATATATTGATGACCTTATTACAATTAATAATTTTGATAAAATTGAACACTCCGAGATTTATCCGAATTGTCTTACACTTAATAAAACTAATAATTCACAAAATAGCATAGACTTTCTAGATCTTCAAATCATTAACTACAAAAAAATTTTACTTTTTGACAAAACAAGAAACTTCAATTTCAATACTAACAAATTAATAAATTGGAACTCCAACATATCCAAAAAAGTAATTAACAATACTATAATTAATCAAATACAACGAATTAAAATTATATGCACAGATACAATAGATTTACAACGCGAAATTTTGCTCCTTATTAAAATTCTCAAAAATAATCTAATACCCATTCAATTTATCAACCATTGCCTTAAAAGAGCAGGCGTTAAATACTCACTCTAAATCATTTAACTGATAGGGATATGATAATTTGTTCCTAAACCTGAGAAGGCGGTATAAGTTGGATGACTATCAGTTGAAGGATTTGTATATAGTGTAATTACTCAATTGTATATATTGTAAAAAAGCTAATTGTCTTCAGACTTATGCTATACTGTTACTAAAAAAAATGGGCCTATTTCATAATCTTTAATCTGTCTAATAGCTCTCTGACAGTGAAAATTCCTTTTTTCCTTTCTTAAATTCTTAATCATTGTCGACACGACAATTAGCCAGAAATTAATTAATTTCCATTCATAGTATTTTCAAAAAAATCTTAACAGATGGTCTCCCTCAAATAAGAACTCCACATAATACATCCCTCAAGAATTCCGAGTCCCACTACCATAAATTACTTCACCCAAGTCTTACCGACTGATATTATTCAAAGCCCCACTGCCGCTAAGAATTTTCGGACACCCTACACTTCATGAGTCAGACGCGAAGAGAACACTTTGCCAACTCCCCACTAGAAAGAATGTAAGTTACTTAATACTTTTTCTGGCCTTTATATCTTCATGTACATTCACTTTTCTTATTATTATTTTTTATTTTTATATTATTATTTGATTTGTTTTTACAAAGTTTGCATTATTATCTTCTTATTTTGTAATTTTCTAATGTTTATTTCAATTACGTTGAATTCTATTTCATAATGACAATTTCCAGTGTTTAATTTTTACAAATAATATTGAACTCAAATGCACAAACACGAGGGTGTCGGGGGACGATTACTCAAGCATTACCGAAATTTATTGCAGAAATTGCTTTTCACTCAAAATTGAATTGGCTAAAATGCTTAATAGGAATAAGTTCTTTGAATATCAACATTGGTTCATAATCTCTTCTATTCACGGAAATATTTGGCCTGACTTGAATTGCCAGTTTGGCTTAGCCTTATTGCTTGAGTAAAGACGAAACATTTTCGTATTTATTTATTAATTATTGTTCATTGAACAGGAGTTGGTTTGTTCCCCTTGAAAGGTCAACTAATTTCCGATCAATGACAATGATTACATCCATTTAATTTAATTCTTGCCTTTAATTTATTCCTTTTACAATAGAAATTTTTTCATTCATGATTTAATTCCAGTCCCCGTTAAATTAAAACATTTTAACATTTTACTTTCAAGTTACTTCAAAACAGCTTTCAAAATATACATAACTTACCAGTATGGATTCACTCTTTTAAGATAATTCCTACTTTAATTAAACTTAGGAGATAATATAATCAATTAATGAATATTATTTAGTAAATAATATATTATATATATATATATATATATATAAGGGTTATTCTAAATTGTTTTTACAAATTAAGAGGGGTAATAGTAACCATCCAGATGAGCAATGATTACCATAGAGCATAGGCACTCTCTGAGAGGCAGGAAAGAGGAAAGTAGAATGCATCGACAGAGAACAAGTAGACTATCAAGAATTAACCGTATGCAAATTTGCACTGAGAAGAAGCAGCATTTTGCTGGTAGTTGATACTGGAGAAAGCCAATCAGAGCAAACGGTGAACTTGAAAACGGCTTCCTCACTTCCAGTATTACCTTGATAGTATGGTCTAAAACTTGGTGAATTCTATCGCATGGTGGAAACATAGTCAATCCTATGG